GGCGTCACGTGCTCCAATTTCCCGCTCGACCACCTGCAAGCCCCACTCATCGTCCCGAGTGGGGACTTCCAGCCTCCTCATTTCCCGCTGCGTTCCTCTTCTCGTGCCGTAGGTTGTTGCATCCCAAATCATTCCTTGCCTGGGCGTGGGCCTTGATCAACTCCATCTGCTGAACGTGTTGCTCTCTCTCCCCGGTGTGCTTGCTGGCTATGTTGTTCAACTCATTACCTTTTCCTTTCATCTCCCAGTCCACTCTACCAGTATTCAATCTGTCCCATGGGTCAGACTCACTAGCGCCGCACTATACTGCGCCAGTGCGTTCCAGGCCATGCCGTGGTCGTCAATTGAAGCAGCACCTTTGATCAACATCCTCTGATTGTATCCTTCTGTTCAACTGCTGCTCAGCAACCGATCAGCTCAGCAAGGGTTGATCAATTTAGCCCCGTGACCTCCGAATACTTCATCTCAGCTCCTATGCTGTTCAGTTCAACACGAACTCTTGGAGTGGCCAGTGCAGCACCGGCTGTTCAACCCATCCTGGTCCAATGGCAGAGTCCAGGAGATCAATTCATAGTTGATGTGCAGACGCCTTCTTGCAACCAGGTTGCCCAGCGTTGCTTGATCACGCCCCTTCTCTGTTGCATTGGGCTTACCGCATCCAATGCACTTGCCGGAGATAGTGGGCACCCCCGCTAACTTTGCAACTTATTTCCACAATAGCACTACTGCTCAGCAACCGATCAGTTGAACACGTCGGTTGATTGTGTCACACAGTTGATCGACTGCGCCCAATTAACTCCCAACATGGGTTATCTTGACTCTGATGCTACTCAATTCAACGCATAGTTTGGGACGGGCCAAATCAGCACCGGCTGTTTAACCATTCCCGATACAACGGCACTGCTCAAAAGGTCAACTCTTAGTCGGAGGGCAGACGCCCTGCCGAAGCCAGGAAGCCCGGCGTCGCTCGACCATGCCCCATCCTTCCTCTGCTGTTGCATCGGGATTACCGTATTCAATGCACTTGCGGGAGAGGTGCGCACCCCCGACGACTTTGCAACTTATTTCCACACTGGCACTGTCTACAAGCGTTAAGATGAGCCACCGAACTGTTTACGGTCTGGACCTGCTCTAGGGGGGTAGGTATTTCGTAAGTAAGACAGTCAATTCATCTTACGGCCTCTCATTTGCCACCTAATGACATAAAACCAATTTCCTGACTCTATGTACCATGTCCTGCCCGGCCACCGCGGCCACTGGTGGAGTAATGGAGCATGTGCCGCTCTCGAATCTTGCTTCTGGATGGTATTGAACTGGCTCAATCTAGCATGACCAGCATCTCTTGGTGAATAGATTCGTTATCGGTCGAGAGCTAGGCCCCCACTTGTTTAGATGTACTTGCTCCACAGGCCTCCAATCGTGTCCGTGGGAAGATAACCGATCAGAGGTGCACTGGGTGCCAAGTCTTGCCCTGCACGGGTGCAGAACCCCATTTCTCGCAGAGCTTGGTTCCACCAGGGTTCCGAGACGCCTGCCTCACTGCAGCACTTCAGCTTCATCCAGCGGCTTTTGTGTGGATGGGAACCGTTGACATACCGGCATGACTGGTACTTTTCTTGCACCCGTAGACTCAACTTACCCAATCCGTGGACTAAGACCAGATACGTTGGGACAGGCCACGAACCCCGGCAGTGGCTCACCGAAATCAGAGCCGCCCCCAGGACGGATTGTGCATAGACAAACGGGCTGTTGACGTTCTTGACAAAATTCCGAGTAGGTCCCATGGTTCCCAGCAAAAAGATCAACGCGCGAGTGTACACAAACCCGTGCAAGGGCATGATGCTGGAGTGGTAGTCCATAGCGGTCTGGGTGATGTAGGCGTGCAGTACCAACGCCGACCTCATGAGGGAACCGGCCTGGTATACGGGACCTGCAAATGATCAGTGAGTGGACTCAAGAAAAGCAGCCTCGGAGCGCTGGGAGTGGCATACGGGTGTGGGGGGGATAGCCATTAGGAAGCCCTTTCACCAAAGCCAGAGAGGTAAAGGAGTGCACCCAGCATGCGATTACGGCCCCTCTGCCACACCGCGGGGTGCGGTAGTAGAGCACCAGCTCAATGAGGCCTGCGAGAACATGCCAGAAAAGGGCTACAGACACCATTAGCTATGGACCGGCCTGCACTTGAGTACTAGCGAACCTGGATGCCGGGGTCGATATGAGCGGGTCTTGTTGCACAATTGATAGCCGAGAAAGACACCATAGAGACCTAGGATCAGAAGATCAGAGTCATTCGTGTGAAATCGCGCTGTTTCCATGGCGAAGCGGTTGTTGCTAGATGGCTGATTGCATCGTATCACACCGGCACCGCATCATTGACATTTATAGTTATGTCCAGGGGTCGACAACCAGCCGGCGTGAGATCTGACAAAAAGCCCAACGGCTGTTTCTCAGTAATTGATACTGTAAGCACCAACACTTGGACGAGCGCTGGTTCTACAGAAAGCCGTCACTTCACGCTACACCCTGACAGGTTCGGCCACAAACGGGTGATGAGACCGTCCCCAGCGCCTCTTGCAACTGTGCAACAGCCTTGCGCTTGACCCATCGATTGCACAATTGAGCGATAGCGCTTAGCGGGATGAAACTAGTCGTTTCCAAGGCGTAAGCTCAGATCTCCTCATACCAAATGGCTGTCTGTAGCCGAAGTTCAGACGAGCCACAGTGCATTAATTCGATAAATGAGCAGACGATCCTTGCCCATCACTGCAACATCTCATCATTCGTTGCTCTATTTTCCTTGGTCATGGAGTACCCGGTAGACCCACAAGGGCAGCAAGAGGATCAATTCTCCGATATCGCGAATTTGTGGGACCGGGCAGTTGGAGACGTTCTTGTTTGCTTTGCTGGCCTCTCATTCGCAAAACAGCCACCCGTGGCCTCGTACCATGATCTGGAGCACGGCTCTCCGTTTGCCGATCAGAAATACGCCGGCGGATTGCAGGCTTGTGTGATCGTTCGGTATCATGAGAGCCCCATCGGTAGGTCGAGCTCTCCCGAGGACTTTGCAGCTGCTGACCACGGTGAAGGAATGTACGATGAGCTGCTTTGGATTCCAGGGGCATTCCGGCATCCAGGCAATGGCAAACAGGCCTATCGTTGTACGAGGGCGTACGTATCGAAGCCGTTAGCTGTGCACAGTGGTAAGCCACCCCGTGTTGTGATCTGGTGGCCGAACAAAAACCCACAGAACCTGCAATAGAACATGATACTGCGGCCAGGCTGACGAGCTCATTTTGATATAGGCTGCAAGAATTGGAATGTGCCCAAGGCAGTAAGTGAGCCTGATTCTCCCTTCTCTTGTGTTCCTCGACTCTGATACTTCGGCTGGTTCAGTGTGCCGTCTTTGAATTCACGCCAGCGCAGTCCGGCAATTTTCCATACAGTCGAATCACAGTGTCACCCTACCGCGGTGGCGAGCCATTCCTTGACCTCACATTTCAATCGACTTTCTTCACCAGACCGTTTGTGACTCTCAACAGTCGGTACTTTCCGCTGAACTTAGACTTCGACTTCCCTCCCCTCCCCGATGATCCAAACAATTCCAGTGAAGGTTTGGTAGGAACATCTGAGTGGCGCCGTGTCCACTTGGAAGTGGCGGGCAAGGCTGGCATAGTGAAAGCTTCCGGAACACTGGGAGACGGGAAATCGCTGCCTTGTCTCGGGGAAAGGGCACATTGGATATGGCTGAAGCAGGCACATATTCGGATTGAGAGCCCTGCCTTGCTCTGATTCTGGTTCGCCTCACATGTCAGCTAGGGTGGATCAGATCATCGAACCACATTTTACGGCATCTATAACGTTCTGGAGCTATTCGCTCCAACCATCAGTAGTAACAAGGATTTCCTCTACCAAAAAGACGCCAGTTTTGGTCACAGTATGCCATCTATCCTTGCCATTCGATAGATGACATGCTTTGTTCCTTGTGATATACCATGTCTATTTGTGCTTCAACACAATCTGCATATTCTATTGATCATAGATTTATTTTACTCCAGACTTCAATACACAATAGAGATCCGAGGAACAGATCCATCCATTTGGTTATATTGTTCTCGTCAACCACAAGCTTGACGTCCTTTACTACGCACAAGTCTATGCTTCTCACCCCTAGTCAGAGGTCGCCGTCTATCAATTATCCGAGTACCTAAGCTTTGGAATTTGCTGGACATCGCGTTCCGCTGTTATCGGCTAGCGGTGGAGAAGACTGGGAAATCAAGGATTTCTTGATATCGATGAACGTGATTTTGGACCCGATCTGGCTGTCTGAATTACAACTATCAGATGATCAGCAGGAGCTGCGGGGAAGAGGATTTTGGTTTGGATGTCTCATGATCTTCACAGAAGACGGGTTCTACAATAAAACAAGCACATTGCTTTATGATGCACAAAGCCATTTTTCATCGTCTATCTCTCGTTGACGTGATTGTCTTTTTGGGGCTCGTGACCGCTCCAAAGTCGGTCGAGGTTCCAGTGTAGAGCGGTGAAAGTCGAAAATCAAAGCTCGTCTAAGCTTTTTTTTTTTCAATGAACATTCTCAGGGCGTGAATATATAGTTGTGAATGATTCTTAAGACTTTGTTCCCTCTACATCAACAGTGTTAATGATACTCAGCGCAGCTATGCTGCGCCATGTGCATCGGTCAATGTATTTGTCCAATTGCGTGTTGTGTCAACGCATCAGATCGATTGGACAATCGGATTTTGGAGATTGTCTGTGCTTCGACGATGGGGCATGACGTCCGGACAGCAGCAATGAATACACCATTAGGCTGCAATTTGAGTAAATATTATTGAGTGCACGTTGAGCGTCGCGAGTTTAAGCCTGGCTGCTATGCTTTTTTCCGGGATACGTTGACGACTGGTTCTTGATCAGAGAGAGAGGATGTGACTTAGCTGAAGCCCCGTTTGCAGCCTGTTGCTTGGTTCGGACCGGGGCAGCATACTCTCAGATGGTGAAAGACCTAGGAATCATAAAACCCGGCGAGTCTCGTTGTGATGGGCCAGGTATGAAACCGCTGCCCTTTGAGATGCATAGATAGCGCGCTTGGTGGATGTTTTGTGGTGCACACGACCCCTATCAGCTCTTGCAGCTTACCACATACAGTATTATCTGGCCTCTTCACCCTTGTTTAATGCACAATAAACCGAGAATAATTGGACTGCCATTCCTGCTCCGCGGGCAAGTTGCCGCCAGCCACTAACTAGAGCCGACCACGAAATAGTAAGAAACAGGATAAACCCCACGAAAGAGAGAACATATGCAAAACCCAAGTGACGAAGTACGATGTAACAGAATTTAGCACGTTGCTCTGCTAGGTCGGCTAACGTCTTGGCGTTATGCTGCCCCAAGCCCAGATTGCATGTTATCAACGATTGTTATATTGTGCGACATCTTGCAGTGCGTTCAAAACAGAATCAGGTTGAAGCGGTGAAGGTCACCATGCCGTTGTCCGGAGAGTAGGGTATATAGCCGGGCGTTATGCCTTCCTTTTCAAGAGCGGCAAAAAGGGAAGGGGTTAGACCGGCTTCTTCGAATGAAAGGTTGACGAGGGTTCCCCCGTAAGATGGCTCAAACTCCAAAGATGTAGAACGAATGTCGTCCGCAATCCTTCTTCGAAGAGACTGTGCAATGGCAGAATCTTCATCGGTAACATCTCCAGTCTGCAGATCCTGCAACCACAAATCCCGGTCGATCCAGTTTCCATCGGCAGAAGGTGGAAGGTGAATTATGCAGACAGAGATGATGGTTGATTCGGCGCCACGAACCGCACGCGATCGAACGCCCGCGATCCGCTCGGCTTCGTCCAAAGCTTTTCCACCTGGCGGGCTGATCTGGACGGTTCTTGGTACGACACCATTTGACATGGGACTTTGGCTGAAATCCATGCTGGAGTCGGATCATTAGTCAAATATAAACATACACAAGTGACAACACATACATATTGTGAAGTTTCTGCTTGACAGATCGACGACGAAGAACTTCTGCTCTGTCGCACTTACGAGGGAGGCCCTGGTTCTATTTATACCTTTCACGTCGTCTTCAAGCTACCGAGCGTATCGGCTGACTAACGCTCAGCTTGAGCGAGCGCGAAAGGCTGGATCCGGTTGCTCTCAAGACCCACTTAAGCCTTCCAATGATGAGGCTGAACGCAATCGCTCAGACCATGCTAGATATGCAGAATAGTACTTATGTTCAGGCCAATCGAGAAAAAGGAAAGGCTGCACAGCCGCTTTCCCCCTCGTCAGCCCGCCTTCCTACGGAAGATAATAGCTCATGTTTTCGACTCGGAACTACGATTAGGCGTGGGGGAGTAAAGTCTCGCGCCTACATTCACTTGATTGCTGTTAGCGCGCACATGGCTGAGACAACAGTCAATTCGACTCCTGAGCATCCTGTAGCACTTGACCGCTGTACTAGGACCTTCAAGCCATTTTAGTAAGGTTTCCGAGTCTTAACTATCTACATATTGATCGCAAAGCTCACAACTTCAGCTTCGGAACAAGTTTCGAATTGTCGGGCATATCAGCTACTTCTGTTCGATAGGAACAAGGCACAATTTTATGTATCATACGATAAGGTTTCTAAGCAAGCGCCGACCAAACATGCCCCCACCAAGTCCATTCGGTCACAACTACGGCAAGCCCTGACCCATGACAGTTAGAACCGTCTTGGGTGCTTAACTAAATTCTGGCCAAGAGTGATAATGAAGGCCGCTGCATTTCTTAGATTTTCCATGATCTTTAAAAGAAGATCAAATATTTCTAAAGATTGCTCCTGTGAAAAACAAATATTCTGTAGAACGGTCGATTTAAAGGTCTCAATAAAAGGGGTGAATGTGAACGACGGGTTAGCGCTCATAAGATGTTATAATAAAAAGAGCGCAGTACAGGTAGATCAGTTCTTATTGCAGAGAAGAGGGGCGGTAAAAGTCCCTCAAAGCAGAGAAACTGTCGTCGTGGTTAGAGACGGACGAATTGTTTGACGTTGTCGTACTGTTTTGTATTGTCAACTGACGTTACGTATCCTCTTATCGTTCGTCGTAAGAAAGACATTATTGATATCAGGTGAGCCACAATGTGGCGTAATAGAGTAGGTACACTGCATTTGTTGTAAAAGGAACACAACCGAGCGGTGAGCCTCAGCATCACCGCTCAAGTAGCGGCCCCGTGGGCGGTGAACCACCCAGGCGTTGTATCAAGCCACGCAATTCTAGTCTAGTTAAGATAGTGGCGACAAAAGGGAAAAGCCTTCGTCAATTATACATAAAGCTTACAAACACAGCAAGCTGTGTGACGCTAATCTCTGCCTTGGCATTCGCATTCGAAGAAATGGTCAGATGACCACATCCCATGCCGATTCGTTGGATTCTGTCAGGATTCGCGTTTCAGATGGTAAGTAGATATCCGCTAGGAAACATATTATCCACCACCGGTAGAAAAACAGACGAGGATTTTGACGACCCAGCTACAGGTGAAAGTCCTGATGAGGCGAACCCAATCATAACCCGAGAAGACAAGGCGATGACGAACGTGAACGGTTGTGAATTGCTTGTTTGCGACAAGCATAATGCATGCCTTAACGCATTGCTAACAAGCTTTCGAGTAATGAATCGAGTATAGGTGCTCTATTTGCCACTTTTAATCCTCCGGAGATCGATCATTTTGTTTCTATCCTCAAGTATGGTTTGTCGTTAACTTTAGGGACAAGCTGATGATCAGGCCTCGTTTTCTGGTGGGAAATATGAATCTTTACTAGTGCAGCACTATAGAGCATGTCATCATGATGACTTAAAATGAATACCTCTGTGCCCTAAACCTAATCAGATCTTTGATGCTAGAATTAAAGCGGTGGCTTTATAGTCTCTCGACTCAAAGCATATTTCTCTGGATACTTTCCAACATCATGCAAAATCGGTTTGAGCAAGTGTATTGATGCATATTTTAGCTTTCACGACTGCCCTGGCACACTACCCGACTACCAGTTAAAAAGGTGAAGACCGCGAGATCACTAGTTACGGAATCGGGTACGATGAATGGAACCGAATTTTCCAAAACTCACTTGGCGACAGATGTTTTCAATCGTCCTCGAAAAAAGATATCGTGAAGAACGACATCACGTGTCAAAAGAGGCAGCCTGACTTGGATTACTCATCACAACCAGGGGTGAAGCACGTCTTCAATGAGGCACGGTTGCACAATCGTGTGACTAATGATTATACCTGTCATTAAACGTAAGGTGGGTTGCGGGCTTTTTCAGGTGGACAATCTATACCCAACTGACATTTGCGTCTCTAGTCTCACTATCTACTAAAGCTTCCCAAGTATAAGCAGGTAGAGCACTCGAATGCCATTTGCTTTAGTGCTCCAATCCCTCTATTCAGTTAACCAACCATGTAGATCTCGCGTTCCTCCGCATACTCCATCCAGGCGGTCGCATTACGCTCGGCAGACACTAGTCACCTCTGAAGCGCAGAATGTAATTCTGGAGCATCGCAGCAGCGTGTTTGTCCGGCTTGACCTTGAGAGCGGACGAATCCGACAAGTGAACACTACCACCCAGTGACCAATTTGGGGAGGCTAGATACAAAGAATAATGACAACTAAGGCTGATCTGAAGGCTTCACAAAGAATGTTAGGGATTGTCCGTTGATATCTCTCTGGGTCGCTCGGGTCTTAGTGTTGAAGAGACAGATTCGTTACTAGGGAGGGATAGGCGCGAATTGCCAATGCTTGGGGAGCTTCAAAAATATTACCCTTTTCGATAAAGGTTACCGGCTTTCTGGTACAAAAACAGGAACGTGGTTGGAGGAGGTCGGCAAAATCACCGATAAACGTATCTTCGATGATCTAGAGGGGCCTTAGCATTTGAGTGGCAAACTCGTCCGCTGTCGCGCTGGTCCATAAGCCCTTTGGCTTATGCGTACGCGGTTTTCAGTCGTCTCAGGTCATAATAATTTGCACAAATGCCCTGCCAACCTAGGCTCCGCAAAAATACACCCGGACCCTTACTTGAGACCACTAACCTATAAATGGCTAAAAAGTATTCGGTAATGAGATTTCGTGACGTGTAAAATTCGACCTTTCATAACCGCCTGTATCAGAATGTCCTTCTGTGCGCCATAGACTCAGGACCATCAATTGTCTACTATTGCTAAGACGCATATATCATCAGGAATGAACCTGAGAGAATCAGATCTTTAACCGTGCTACTCTGGAATACAAAGATACCTATCACCTCGGTAAACGAAGGCTCAAGAATTCTATCACATGCCAATTCATTCTCAATTTTCTAGGCCGTAACATAGAATCATCAACTCAGTATCGGTCGTAGCGCCGCGAAAGACTTCGAGATGTCGTATTCTGGTAACTCTTCCATATCTAGTGGATGAGCGATCAAAGCCAGAGCATAAGATTGGAAAATTCACCATGCAGAGAAAACAACAGAATCGTTGGCATGATTTTCAACCACAAACAACAACCTCGAAGGACTTGAAATCATACCGTAGCTTATCGGCAGGGGTTGAAGCTCTCAAAGCCTCCTCATAGCAGGTGAGACAATTCTTCAATATCGGAGTTTCGCACACTAGGGCCCTTGTGAATGTTCCCTTTCTCGGTTCTAAAGTGGCGATAGAGGGCAAACAAGACGCGTAGTTAACTTCTGGTAAATCGATTCAAAGGCACTGTTACTCTTAGCTCATTATGTTGTGCTTCGATACTGTAGTTTGGGCATTAGGCAGATTTCTGGATACATATTTCACAGTCTGACATAAGAAACTTTTACACTCGTTCCCTCCTTTGCAATGATTTGTTTTAAGATGCGTATAGAATTTCGACGTCGTTTGAAGACCGTATCAGCCCCAGCAATGTCTTCGTTAAATGGTGCTTGCTCGACGACAAAACTAGCCGAGGTGTCCCCGGGATCGTGTAATGCGAATCGACGGATAAGTATCTAACTATGGATTGTTTCCCTGATGATGACCAATCCAATATCACGTGAGAGCGCCGCACAAATCTGGGATCCGGTTGTCGAAGAAAAGTGAAATTTGATGGGCTTTCTAAACTTGCATATGGGAAGGAGAATGAGCGGTAACACTGATTTCTTATTTTTATTCGCTTCTCCTGGTAGGTAAAGTTGGGATGGCTGCCTGCCCCGCCCACCGCAGTAATCAGATGGGTGAAAACTGCGTGAGTGGGTCAACAGGAAGAACGTATTAATATTGGGCAACAAAAACATTTCTTGGAAAACCCCTCCACTAGATACCTTTTTTTCCGCGCAGACACTATCACACGTTCTTATTCTTATTCTAAAGGTGTCGAAATATATTCATCTCAAGTTAGTCGCCATTCGCCGCTAGTACTTGCTATTCGAGAGCAAATGTATGTTATGTCACTCCACGATTCTAGTTCATTGCTAAAACTTTTCACTCGCAGCGAATAGCGACAACCCCGCAATCCTCAAAACCGTTCCTGAGGCCGGTCTTGAAATGAAGCTGGAGATACCGAATGAGTTTGTAGCTTTCCTTGAGGGGGCAGAGTGGGAGAAACGGGGCAAGGATACCTCAATCTGTGTCGACACAAATCTTGAATCTGAACTGGGAAGATTGACATCGACACTACCAGGCTTGAAGGGCCATGATCTACAAGCTTGGAAGACCACAAGAGGCGCAAGGATACTGAAGACAGCGGCCTATCTTATCCCTATTCACATTATCAGGGGAACAGCTCAAGTCGAAAATGGTCCCGTACTCACTCAAGGTTCGCAGCCATTCTACTTTGAAGACGAGATTGTTGTATCTGGCTCGCTTTACTACGTCCTCGCCTTACCCCCAGAGCCGAAATCAGACTGAGATTACCTACTATCAGGGTTACAGAACAAAGCCACATATATTTCGATAGTACCTAATTTGATGAGCCGAATTCTTGAATGATTTACCCTAATGTTGTCATCTGACTGCTTCATACTATGTTGCTGCAATGGGGCGTTGATTTGACAGGGACCATTGGTATGCTCCACTTTCGACTGAAACTATGCCGTCTATCGAAGGCCAAGGGACCCTGGGTTCGGCAGACGCAATGATCGCGTCTACCGGATTGCAATCAGGGTCGTAACCATCCATGCCCCTAGGCCAAGGAATTCGAGGTTCCGCAGACGCTATGATTGCGTCTATTGGGTCGGGGCCATTGTTGTAATCGTCGGTATATACAAAATTGCCGACTACTGGTGCAGGACTAGGTCCACGGGACCCGGCTTGGACTCCGAGCACTTGAATCTGTCCTTGAGGGATAGCTGCCTCATCGTATGGTCTCGGAGTTCCGTTTGATGCTCGGCTAATCGAATCTTGCTGTTGCCTTATTGAGTCGAAATCCATATCGGTCGAATTATGCGACAGTGAAAATCCAGAGGTTTGATAATCTATGGCTGAATTGGGTTGAGCGCCGAAATCACGTTGGCAACAAGCATTTAGTGTCCAGGAATGGGAGGAATTGTTGTTGCAAGGGTTTGCTGTCCGGTTGTTTGGAGGGTCTGATTCCACTCTGCGGCATTCTAAAGGAAGCGCCACCTGCTTAAGACATTGTCTTTTCGCAGATGTTGGATAGAGGTCACACGCTGATCGCTTGTTAGAGGTAATCGCTTCTGCGGAATTCGAACTTGGTTCGTTGTCTAGCGTTTCCTCATTCCTGCTCTCGAGATCGCCTTGGCTGTCAACCAAGTCGGCTGACGTGTGATAACACAATATGGGTTGTTGAGGATTCTCCACTTCGGAATCTATGGTTTGTGCTTCTCTCTCTCTTGATTCATGGACGAACGGAATCTCCGAAGGTATATGCTTGTAGACTTTCCACAGAGCGTCGGTGAGTATTTTCGCCCACTCTGCTTGAACTGGTCTCAGATTCTGTCGTATCAGTTGGACCTTTGACAGTTTGATCTTACGCCACCTACTAAAGTCATCAGTATGAAAAGAACCCGTATGAAAAGAGTAGGAATCAACTCACTTTATCCAATTGGGCTTTGAGATACGGAACAAATCGATGAGCTCGAAATTTGATAGCTTTTCCCCGCGATCAACTTTCCAGACTTCCGCCCGAGAAGGTTTGTGACCTAACACGCGTTGGAGAGCCACGCTTCTAATTGTCTCACCCTTTCGCAAAGTGCTTTTTGACTTCACAAATTCATTCTCAAGCAGTTGAACTTGTTCGTATAATTTAATTTCAAGCAGCCTCTGGGTCAGATGGCTCATCTCAGAATGGTTGCCGAGGACTTTCAGCAATTGACTGACAATATGGCCATCTGTGAGCAAGGGCAGTTTATTCCAGAAATATTCAGGATTTGCACCATAGGTGGCTATGAAGCTTTTCGCACTGCTTTCAAATTCTTGAGTGAAAGACTCGTAAATTGACTTCGAATCCGGATCTTGTAGGATTTTCTGAATGTCGGTCTCTTCAGTAGTGGTTTCTACAGTAGTGATCGCTTCGTGGTCGGTCGCATCGTGGTCGGTCGTGTCGGGGTCGGTCGTGTCGTGGTCGGTCGTGTCGTGGTCGGTCGTGTCGTGGTCAGTCGTG